TAAGAAGGTATGCCGAATGGATAGCAAAGTATTTATATGTCATCTTCAACAAATCCCTCCTGACAGGTACTGTCCCAAAAGAATGGAAGAAGGCAAAAATAATCCCGATACCTAAATGCGATAACACAAATGATGAATCAAACTACAGACCAATATCTTTAACATGCACAGTATGCAAAATTTTGGAACACATAATTCTTAAACATTTGACCACTTACCTCGAGCAAAAACGCTTTTTGTCACCTTCCCAACATGGGTTTCGTGGAGGGCTATCGACAGTAACTCAGCTAGCTGAACTGATACACGACTTGTTTTCGAGCATTGATAACCAAAAACAAGTAGACCTCATCCTACTAAACTTTTCAAAAGCTTTCGATCGTGTCTCACACAAAAAATTAAGAAACTTCAGTCAGCTATAGGAAATTGCTCGGTTGTTCGCTGGATTAAAAATTACCTATCTGATAGGACACAGTACGTCGAGATAAATAATGAAACTTCCTCTATAGCAGCAGTAACTTCCAGAGTGCCTCAAGGCAGCGTCCTAGCACTTTTGCTGTTTCTTATATTTATTAATGACTTACCGCTGAATATTCCTGTTACCGTAAAGCTTTTTGCCGACGATTGCATACTGTACAATGAAATTAACTCCCACGAAGATCATATAGCGCTAAACAATGCCCTAGAAACCGTGTCAAAATGGTGCGATGATTGGCAAATGACAATTAACACCAAAAAATCCGCTCTTCTGACAATAACTAGAAAAAAAAACAGGTCTACTTTCCCCTACATCATTAATAACATTCCCCTGCTACGAGTTTACGAACATAAATACCTCGGCCTAACAATAACCCAGGATCTCAGGTGGGACTCCCACATATCCATAGTAACCTCAGCTGCGCTACGGCGCTTGATGTTCCTTAGACGACGCCTTCGATTAGCTCCTGCAGAAACAAAACTAATTGCGTACAAAACGTTCGTCAGACCTGTGTTAGAATATGCCAATATTGTTTGGTTCCCATTTTCTGTCACCAAAATTAACAAGTTAGAAGGAATTCAGAGGAAAGCAATTAGGTTTATATACAATAAGTATCGATTTTCTGACTCACCCACTGAACTTATTAAAAAAGCTGGAATCCTAACTCTTCAAAACCGAGCCAAATTAGCACGACTACGGTTCATGTACCAACTGATACATGGAGAGATAAAGATTAATACATCCAAATACATTTCTATTGCACAAACAAGACTGACACGTCACACACATTCTGAAATGCTTGACGAGTGCTCATTTCACACAGATTCATTTAAATATTCATTCTTCCCATTGGCAATAAGGGAATGGAACCGGCTGAGACCTTCTATACTTCACTGTACTTCACTGGATAATTTTACCGCGGCAGTAAAAGAGCATTTACAAGGCGACAACGAATAACCTGTCTACATTGCAGACTCTCTGAATTACTCGTGTTCTGTACGAATTTTGTGTTTTTGTTAAATCAATAAAAGAAGGTAGTTGTTGTCAGGTTGTCATAGGTACAGGTATGAACATTGATTGTTGTTTTATTCTATATACTGCGGGACTTGTTTGTCATGCTCGTCACACTAGGTACGATGCAAATTATGTTACGCCTTTACTGTTCATTCCTTTTCCAAACAATTACCCTGTGCTAAAAATTGCCTAGCCCTCAACATGTATTCCCCTCGTGTATGTAGTATGTGTTATAACTTGAAAGCCCAAATGATTTGTTTTTCTTCTTTCTTTTTATTGTTCACATTCTATGAAATGCCCTTCCTGCTAAAATACCAAATGGGATTAGCAGTATCTGTAAATAAATAAATATATATCTATATATGGAAAAGAAGTGTATACCTAAGGGCTCATTTTTCCGTGTTTTGACACAATATTAATGAGATATAACAGACAAGTATGCCAAGGAATGTATAGGGGAAGTTATTAGAACAAATGGAATGTAAATAAGAAGAAAGAAAAGTGGGTGAAAAAATAACCAGCCGTGAGCAGGAATCGAACCTACAACCTTCGAAAAACGCGTTCGATGCTCATAGAGCATCGAACGCATTATTGGTGTTCCTGTCAACAGATGGGGTGTCAACAATAGGGTGTTCCTGTCAACAGATGTTCCGACCTGGAACATCTGTTGCGATGGTTTAATTACGGCCGATGGTGATGATGCTTGCACTGCGGAACCGTGCACGGATTGGGGCATTGTGAATGAAGTGTGTGGCGAGAGCGATTTGAAGGAATTGGATTGCGAGAATGATGAAACTTAGGAGCCAGTGCCTCATGCAGCTTATGCCACGGGCCTCGGTGAACGAGCACCCTGCCGTTTTAAATGAACTTGAGACCGCCCTTATCGCTTCTGCTCTTCGAAACACGTGCATGACAGACTTTTTGGGGCAAGAAAAGTTTGTGGTATCACTCGGAACTTTATTTAAAAGCTGTGTTTTATTTACTACGAACTTCGGGATACAGCGAACGGATGCCGCGTCACGCTCAGGTTCGTTGTAAGCGGGCTCGACTGTACATACATACATATACGGTGACGTCGGCGGCGACGGCTAAAAAAGTTGAGACTGGTCATATAATTGCTATTGCAATAAAAAAAAAGTGAAGCTGAACGTCGTCAGGGGCCACAACATGCGCGCGCATAAGAATATATTATGCACGTGCACACGGCGTCGAAAATGAAGGGTGAACGAGGTGGACACAGACTAGAATTCCTATGCAGTGGGGCGCTACACATGTGACGCTAACTAGAAGCGTGGCACTGACAACACGCAAAAGCAGTTTCGTTTCTTTTTTTTTTATTTTGGTTTGGAGTGGTAGGGGGCGGAGTGCACACCCGCGCATGCGGCTGCGGCGCCGGCTCGTGGGGCACAGGCCTGCCAACCTGCCTCGCAATAACGAGTGCTTGCTCACGTCTGGTGGGCCATGCGCGCCGCTGCCGCTTCGCACTTCGTCTGTAGCGGGACAGCCGCGGAAGATGCATGCTCGTACCAAGATGCCAAAAGGCGGAGCAAAATTTCTAGATTGTCCGTGGGGAAAATTCTTTATATCAAGGTTGTCTCCCATTGTTACTTTGTTTCATAGAGGTTGCAAATATGTGCTTCTATAGAGCAATGGCGGGGAATAGCAAAACTTCGTTATTTCGAGGAATTCGTTATATGGAGGTTCTCTATAAGCAGGTTCTCTATAAGCAAGTTTAACTTGTTAAGTTGACGTTGATTGTTGAAATTGTGGTCCAGAAACCGCATAATGCTACTTATGTGCTAAGGAAGGGCTTATTAGGAGCTTGTTTGGCAAGCTTCTAATGCTCCCGCCTTTTCCTCTGGTGATGGCCAGCTGCCGGGGTGTACACCAGTGTTGTCGGTGTACACTTCTACGGTCGCCGCACAAGGCGGTGATTCAAATTAATCTCACTAGATGGCGTGCCGCCACCCAGGGCGTTAAGGAGCCTTCACGTGCGCGTCGGTGTTATTGAGCTTTCACGTGCGCGCTGGCGCGGCGCGCACATGATGGCTCCCTTAAAAGCGTAGGTTTCCGATGGCCTGTGCGCTTGCCTCCTTCGCGACTTTGTTCACTTTGTCCTTGTCGCTTCGTAGTCATGGCAGCACTTTACTAGTGCCTAGGATAAGTGTTACCTACGTGGGTACCGATATCTCTTCAGGCAATCTCACCTGCCTGCTCTCAACCCCGTTGAAGAACGCCTGATAGCTCCACGTCTGCTGCCATTTATGAGCATAAGACATTTGATTCATGTCAGTGGCCAGTACAGCATAAAGGGGCAGGTGGTTAATGTGCCGATCAAAGTGGCTAACATTGCCGGCCGCGGAACGTGCCCGACGACGCTGCCTTCAACATACTGTACACATCATGCACCAGCTCATAACACACCTTCCTATGGAAATGGTCTCTCCAAGAAACCGCAGGTGCACCCTCGAGCAAACTCCTCTAACATCATTCACTTTAGCGATGATTTTAAAAACAGTAATAATAAGACGACACTAGTGCGCTTCAAATCACACTCCTGGAAATAGTATTCCTCACATCGCTGTGCCCAGTGTTGGCCGCCGACACTCATAGCAGCCGGGTGAAAGTAGCGGAAGCCATAGTTGCAACGACAACCCTTAAACTAATTTCGGCTTGCCTTGTTCAACTTGGCCCCACTAGATGGCACCACTTATCCAGCTTAACCAGCCAAAAATGATAATTTTCAACCACTTGGGCCTTTCCCATGCGGTTCTTGCGCCTTTCCCAGGCGGCTCTTTTATAGTGAAAGCTCTGTATGGCCAGGAGAAACGAAAAACTGTTTGACATCGTTGTCGCAAACGCTCTACATTGGCTGTATTATCACTTACGTCCAGCATTGTACCCAAGCACATGCGCCATTAGGTGTGTTGTTACGTTGTCCAGCAAGCGCGTATCAGTTTCTACTGATTGCCTCCTCATGATTAAGACACGAACAACTCTAGAAGAGCGCGAACAATGGCAACGTGAGAGAGCAAACATTCGCCGGGCTGATGATACAGTCCGGGCACAAAAACTGGCTTGGGAACTCGCCGGGGCAAACACCCTTATTCGGCGGGAGTTTCTCCCGCGTCACTTCGGCTTTCGCTGCAACGTCTGTGACCGCTTGTTGTACGAGAACAACCACTGTGATTAATGCATTTTTGAATGCATTTAACCACTCATTACACTCCTCCATGACCCTGATAATGTGAGGTGCAATGTGTGGCATGTGAAATAAACACTGTGGTAAACCCAAGCTAAATGTGTGTCTAATCTCATTAATGGTGAAAGTCTTCAGTGCAGCGTCGGGTCACAAATATTCTTCTGTCGGGAATACTTTAAAATGATTGTTCTGGTAAATTTCTTCAAAATGCAGACCAACATGACCTGTCAGTTCTGAGCTAGATTTGCCCTCATCAATGGTAGCTATGTATTTTGTGCAGTCTTGTGAAGGTATAACTTTTGTTTGCAGGGCACTTGCATCTTGGCAACATTGTCCTGCGAGGCGGCAACTGTGTGGTGACCGCGCTGCAGAACCAGCTACTTGGACTACCCAACCGGCTGCGACCATTGATTGTTCACCTCAAGAAAGTCAGGGTAGGCATCCGCTGAGGCCAGTAAAGCATTTGGCTGCTGACTCGCTTTGGTGTTAGTAGGGATAAAACTGGGTGTGGGCCATTGTTTGAGAACTTTGAATATTTAAATTGGCTTGGAAGCTAACCTAAAGTTTCTGAAAAGTTCAAATACTCGAAACCAATATCTGGACATATTTTGTTCAGTGCACCCCCCTTGCAAAGAAAGCTTCGCTGTAGTTCAAGGCCGTGATGCTGTGAAACCACCTATCCAGCAGAAAGCAGCACTTTTGCAAAACCACGCGTCAAGGATAAGGAGATCCTGAACCGTTATTCAAAGTAATCACCAAATGACCTGAGTACTGGAGTTTTATGAAAAGGAAACAAAGTACATTGTCCAAATAAAATTTGAAAGAGATGGAAAACGACGTCTCGGCTTGCATACGAAAACCTCGTTCACGAAATGTCACTGTTTTTTTTTTTTCGTTTTATTTAGTCGGTGTACTTCGTTGCCTTCATCATGTTTTGTCCCAACCAAACAGGTTTCTGTTGAACTGCCGATTTAAGTATTGGAGTTTATTGGCTCATGAATGGACTGCTGCAAAAATTTTTGGGATCCATCAAGAATAGAACTGCCTTGACTCCCAACAGTAGCATGCATTCGATCATCATGAACCTTTCATAATGGGATGGAAAATAAGCACCAATAATAATTAAAATGTATATTTATACAAATTGTTGTTTTGTTTTTGCATGACTTCTTTATATTGACAATGAAGTGTTGAGAGAACAACGCTTCATTGTATAAAACATAATTGTACTCTGTAATGTGCAGTGATTTCACTCCTGAGCCAACTGCACCAAATCATATTTACTGCGCTATCCTGAGAATGTCAACACAAATTGCGCCAGACTGTGCCAAAGTCGGATTTTGGAGCGTCTTATCACAGGCAAAGGCCACGCCGGAGTGTTGAAACGTGTGCACCTTGATCTCGGGGCCACCAAAGTCGCACTCACGTATACCTATTTTATTCCTTTTAATAAACAGCGGTCGCACGTGCGTCCTAAGTAATCCACGATGTAATGTTTGGTGCCGACACAACTTCTGTTGGGCAAGTTCACTTAATGGCGAAACACGCTCTCAAAGACGCCAGGGTTCGTGACATCTAGTCCAATCGGCATCATGAAACTGTGGCGGTGATTCGTCGACGGACGTCATCTGTTTCAGGAATGCTGCTGATACAGTTAACCTGGGTATAACCCAATTAATAAAATCCCGTAAAAATTCATTATAAACATGATTTTGTTACATGCAGGTTTGGTACAAAAATTAGGAAAATGAACGCACAAATCAAACACAAGGGAGACTGAAGGCAGAGCTAGACCAAAACGCTTATTTAGCTGTAAAAAACTGCGGTACTATTGTAATAGCAATTGTATAAACACTCTTGGCGGGTTTTTGCCGCTGCCACCATGTTCCGTAACAAGTATACATTGATAACATGCCCCCGCGCATCGTAACTTTCACGATCGGGTAAAAGCGTGCGAGCGCTGCTGAAGCAGAGGTATGAGTCGGCCCACCTCTATGGTCAGGAAGGCACATAAGATAACATCCCCGGTGTGTTAGAACTGCCGTCAAATGTTCAAATAGAAAGGAAACCACCCGTTTTTAACGAGCATGAAACAACACGGGAAGGGGGTAAAGCTAGCTCGAGTAGCAACAGTGAACTTTGATTTTAAAGGGGCCCTCTAAGGCTCGCTTGAAAACATCGCTTCCGACTGCACAATGGCATTGCCAGAACTATTGCGAGTGGAAATGATGCCGGAAGGTTGCCATCATCTGATCGGATAAATGTATTGTCAATTGTAATTGCAGAATTGCATCAAAACAAGGATTACTATCGAATTTCTTTTTGTTTAAACATGATTTTTCACTGAAAGCGGAAGAGAATAAAGCTCTCCAACTTTTCCAGCTTGAAAATTGTGAAGCTGGTCGAAGAATGCGCCGAACGCCATGGTGCTAGAGGAAATGCGCCGGCGACGCTCTGGGCGCCATTGTTTGAAGAAACTAAGAACAAAAACAAAAAATGCAAAAGCAGCGATATATAGACGCCATCGCAAAAAAGAAAGATCAGTAAAGCTACAAAACAGTATAGTAGAAGCTTTCACGACCTGCGTCGTTTCGCACATGTCATTCTTTCTTCAAGTACCACATTATTTGTTACCATAGCAACGGCATCCTCAATACATTGAAGATAATGGGCTATATGTCATGCAATGGTAGCGATGGTGTAGTGGTTAGAGCATCAGCCTCACATGCAAGAGGTCCATGGTTCGAATCCCGGTGCCGCACAGTTCCAAACCGGATTAAAAATTAAAAAGGATTGGCGATCCTGGTGCAGTATCTGGCCACTACCTCCCACATGCATACGTCAATTAACTCACGGCCTTCAGTCCCCAGTAGCTGCGAAGCAACTGACCGTAGCGGCGATCAGATCTGCAACGCAGCAGAGGGTGCTTAAAATCCCTGGGTCTGGACAGGTCGCCATTGGAATCTGAACTTGGCAACATTTAACGCTAGAACCTTATCTAGTGAGGCAAGTCTAGCTGTACTATTGGAAGAGCTAGAGGGTCTAAAAAAGGATGTAATAGGGCTCAGTGAGGTTAATAGGACAGACGAGGCCTATACAGTGCTACAGAATGGGCACGGCCTCTGCTATTGTGGCTTGGCTGACAGAAGAGAACTGGTAGCGGGATTCCTTATTCACAGAAACATAGCTGGCAACATAGAGGAATACTATAGCATTAATGAAAGGGTTGTAGGTATCGTAATTCACATTAATAAAGCAGCGCACAGATACATGATACAATATTCTTCTCACATAACCAAACAATCACTTGGAAGAATTGCCAATGCTCAACTCGCGCTTTTGTCCCTCTGCCTCGCAGCTCATCATCGCAGATTGGACTACATGTACAGTGTGCAATGAGGTTTACTGGCGATTGCTATGATGATGAGCGGAGAGGCAGGCAACCTCCAGTGAGGCAGAAGCTCAAGCTGAGCATTGGCGATGCTGCTGAACGGAGGCGCATCTTCTTCTTCCAAGTGATTGTTTGGTTATGTGAGAAGGATTTTGTGTCATATATCTGCGTGCTGCTTTGTTAATGTAAATTTCTAGTGAGAACGAGAACCAGTTAGCCAAGAATTGCATGGGGCGCATTGCATTATTTGTTGTTTTCAACTCTGTAGTGCAGTAATTATGACCTAAATTAAAAAGTGCTGTTTGTTGGTTGTGTCTAACAAAGAAATTCTCCTTGTTTGGTGAGATAGAGGTGGGTGGCGTGGTGCTGCTGGATTGTTTTGCCCTAATGCTGCCCTAATGCTTCTCCAGTTGAAATTGGCCATTTATGAAGGAAACAGTGGCCTCACTTCACTATTTGTTAATGATTTATGCTGATGAGAACTGATCTTGTTGTGTACTAGGTTAAAAATTGAGGGCCATTGCTTCGACTTGACAGGCTCTCTCTCCCCCCCCCTTCCCCCATTTTTTTCTCATTTTCATTTTGACAGACTGCGGAGGCTGTGGATGTGTACAGCTTTGGCCACATGATTTATGAAATGACATTCGGCAGGCCTTGCAGCAGTCCCACTTGTGACAGCTTTCCAGCACCATGCCCTCCTGAATTGAGTAAGGTCTCATCTCTAGCAATGCATATCATAATTCGTGGGCATTTTGCATAGCTCGCCTACCTAGGGACAGAGCACATTCCACATGACCTGCTCACTCATAATGGGTACCTGCTACACCACTTAAATTCCCACTGCAAGCATGAAATCTAAGGTGTGCAAAATGTAATCAACTCTCTAAAAAAGGAGAGAAAGGCGTTGCTGGAGACCAGCCATACTTCCAATTAGCAAAGCACATTAGAGTTCAGCAGCCAAAGAAGAATTCATCAAAGAGCTGAAACCGAACTCGAAGGCCATTGTTGTATTTGTGACCTCAGTACAGAATACAGTGATGTGATAGCGGCATCAATGGCTCTAAACTGTACCAAGAGATGCTGCAAGACATCATTTTGCGGGTGTTAGGAGAAAAGCCATACGACAGGCACTCGTTGTCTGAGCAAGAACATTTTTAGTTTAAGTGTGCGGTGTTTTCCAGCAGTCTACTGTGTGTTTACAGTGAGTTACAACTTAAGGTGACAAGAAAGACACAGCTAATCTGACACCAGAAATGTTTTCGGTGGTGCTCTTTTCAGCTCATGATGTCCATATGGAGCGCATGCCCGTTGGTGCGGGTGTGTGTGAATCTGGTTCTGACGTAGCTGCTGTCTTCTAATGCTGTACAGGACTATAATCCATCCAGCAATAATTCCAGATGTTACTGTTTCCTGCTAAAAGTTGGAGGCAGGCAGGCAGGCTTTATGACATTCCTGTCAAGCATTGTCAACCACCACATAATGTTTTCTGTTAATTCCGTAGCTTAATATTGAGTTGAGTAGATATAGTTTGTAACTGTTGTGAAGTTAGAAAAAGAAAGGAACGCTGGCAGTTATTGCAGCGAAAGCTGTTATCAGATTGCAATGGCAGTGGTAGTGGGATGGTTGTCTGACGACATCTGTAACCACTACCGCGCAAAATGGAAAACTGAAATGAGAAAAACATTTCTAGAAACGTTGGCGCCCTCTTACCGACTATCATCAAGGTATGAGAATCTGTAACAGCAGGTAAGGTTCTATGCCCTCGTACCAGGGCGACAGGTGATGTGTGCCATTCTTTGCTTCCACCCACCATTTACCTAACCAGTGGTAAGCAGCCACCCTGTGCTCTCGGCCATGGCTCTGGTGACAGTGATGGTATTTCGGCACTTATATGTATTTCACAAAAACATGAGATCACAACCAGAGCCAATTTTGGCGGCGTTTTGCCCACTACCAGCTCCACTGCCGCCGGTGCTCGTTGCAGGCTTCGCGCAAATGAAAAAAAAAAATGAATTGTAGCAAAACAGTCATTTGAACGAGTTTCTGAATGCAACAAGTCGTAACAAGGATTGGAGAAGAGAAGAACAGAAGAACAACAGAGGCTTCACTTCTCCAGTCCCTGTTACGTACTGCATCTCAATGCTTGCATTCTCTAGAAAAAAAATTAAATGAGGAAAAACATTTCGAGGAACGGAAAAGATTTCAACCCCGGTCTTCTGCGTGGCAGTCGAGTATTCTACCATAAAGTAAAGTTGAGCGCCACGGCCGCCAGTTTTTGCTCACGTCGTCCGCATTGCTATTGAAGTTTATTGAAGTTTTGAGAGAGACCACGCTGCCACCACCGCTGCTCCAAAAGTTGTGGCGTGCCGCCATTTGTCTCATTTTACTCGAGGGAGGAATCTGGGCATAAAATACACCACTTCACCTTTTCAGGAGCTTTAAAATTTTTTAGAGCTGCGTTTGCGGTGTCTTGACTGCTCTCATGTGTCCGTGTTTGTAAGCCCTGTCTATATAAGGACGCTAAAATAGCTTCTGAAGATACACACTAGATTGTGTATCGTGAACGAGATCGTCAAGACAAAAGTCTTGGTGTTTCTCGTTCTTGTGGAGCTCTTCGTGATGCCTTCTAGAACCGTGATTCAGGTGCCATGATTTAAGGCACATACTCTCGAATGCTCCATATGCGATAATTATTGATGCAAATTGTTTTCTACCCTGCTTGTCCATGCATTCACCCCCCGACCCTCCAATAGTTCTTCCTCGTGTTTCGCATGATTATAATGTGCGATGAACTTTTGATTTCACTGCATTTTGTGACTCGGGTTGCATAAGTGGAAATAACAGAGTGTGTAGCCCACAAGCTGAAAATCCTTATAAGCTCAACCCTGTGCACTCACATGTTGCAACAGAATCCAAAGTTGGGCTATTTGGATATGCATGGTATAACTGTTGTTCAAGCGCACGAATAAACAGAAAGGAAGAGAGGACAAGCGCTTTCTCGCTCACATATTGCCCATGTACTTTATGAAGACACAAATGTCGAAGAGATGCAGTCTGTAGGAATATTAGTGAAGGAAGTGAAGTTGAGTATAATGGAGAACAAACAAGACCAAAAGAAGAGGCACTGTATTATTTAATTTTACCAACGGACGAATTGTTTACAGCTAAAACGACGCAGCTCGCCATAAAAAGGCCAGCCCTCTTCGACTTTTGTGTTACATTTTTGATTGTGAGAAAATATTATATGGACACCCTTTACAGGTTTTCATCGTCGCTGCCATGTTACTTGTAAAGTTGAAATCAACAAATTTCTTGCGCGCACTGTATGCTGTTCCAGCGGATAAAATCTCGCGAGTGCTAGCGAGGAGCACTGCTGTAGCATAGATGAAACAAGCTGCCCATCTCCTTTGCACAGAGGGCACATGCGATGACAGCACTCCGCGTGCGATGCCTGCTGTCGATTGCTCCTCAACCGGAAAGGAAGCCTTGTCAGTCTTTAGCTGGATGAAGGAGTATCATGAGATACTCAGGCTGCGTGACTCGATCTGCAAACTTTATATTTGATTATACTAAAAGCCCGGTCACTAGTGCTAGTGCACGCTATTTTAGCAGGCATCAGCGAACGTCTCGTATACCTTTCTAGGGGCTACGATATTATTATGACACGAGGCATGGCTATTTGGAAGCTATATGTACAGTCAAGCTCACATAAAACGGCCCCACTTAAAACGAACTTTCGCTTAAAACGAACAATATCCGCGTGACCGCGAAAATATACATTGGTTCAATGGCACAAAATCGCACATACGAACGTCTCCGAGCGCCGCTGATCGGTTACAGCGAAACCAATTTCGGAAACCCATTTTGACCACCGATCAGACATCGGCGAGGTGCCCATACATTCTTATTGTTAAATGCCGACCCTGCCTCCGCGCCCCTCTAGTTGCCGCTCTCCCCCGCTTTTGTTACGCGTCCTTTGTCCTTTGTCCCCCCGCTACTCTGAGCATTCCGCATCGCCAGACGAGGCTAGTGTTTTCACACTGCCACCGATCTTTCAAAGACCGGTCGGCCACCTACTTCGTTTTTGATCACTGGCGCTGTCGTCGACGTCGCCGCCCTGGAGTGACCAGACCATTTTCCAGCATCGTCGGCCACCGACTGAATCCGACAGTCCGCATCTAGTGCACACGTGTACACTACACCACAGACTCTGATCATTTGCGATTCGTTTCATGTTTAGAACTTGTTCTTGCTCACTTCGCACTCGGCTCAGCATGCCTTCCGTGCGCGTGCGGAAGCGCGAAAATAGCTGTTGATTCGCACAGAAGGAATCGCAAATTATCCAAGTTCGTGAGGCCACGCAAACCCGCCTGCGCAACAAAACGATTTTCTGACCGCAGCCGCCGATTCCTCGAACACTGCCGAACACCGATTCAGGCGGCCATGCACTCTTTCCAACTCTTTCTACCTGCGAGTTTCGCGGACCTTTCAAGCAAGCTACACAATCTGCCTCCTGTCAGTGTGTTTTGGTTTTCAAGGTCGCCCTCCCGCCGCATCCTCCCCTCCCTTTATCACAACTACTTGCCCTTCTCTCGCAAGTCTGCTCTCCTCTCTTGATCACAACCCCTTTGCCCGTCTCCACCGCTCCGTGATGCCCGCCATGCTTGCTTGCCACGTTTCGTTTTCTGACTGGAAACGGTCCCTGAGCTGTTCCACGCGTTCTGGCATGTGTGTCGCGTGTGTGTGTTTTGCTCGCTCTTGGTGTGCGTGTGTGGTCATGATGACCGACGGGAGGACTAGCATGCTTTTTTTTAGGACGATAGTCTTTCTTTGGGACCTTCGACACAAAAATTTGTCTGTCTATACATTTGTCTGTTTGTCCACCCTTAACGATACTGGGTACACAACGGCACCAGCTGATACCCCAAACTCCATCTGCAGCACCCACCAATGTTGCTAAAAATTCAGCAATTATACTTGTGTGATTGTCGACTAAAAAGCAATTATTGCGCATATCTGAGGCACAATAACAACACGTATATGATCTGCATGTGCGTCTTTTACTACAAAAGGCATACATAAGTAATTTTAAGGACCGTAGCGTTTATCACGCTGCGCTGACCATGCAATGCTTGCACGAAAAGGCGAGTTTTTCCAACGCTTTGCTAAGACGACACGATGGTGGCACCTACCCGTCGCTTTGCGTTCTACACCTTATCACCTCTGAGACGGGCGCTCACGCCCGTGTCGAACGTGCAACGTTTTCCTAGAAAAATGCCAAATGGCGCTCATGCCTCACGTGTGATGTGACTTGATGCGCTCATTCGCCTCCGCTGCACGCTCGAGGCACTCTAACACAGCGCCTCGAGAACACCATTCACCGATTTTCTGGCGCAGAACATCAAATAAATGTTTTGTTCACTCTCTCCACGTGCAAGACTATCGTCTTTCGACGACATTTGCAGATTAACATGCAGATACGGGCCAATTTTTCTCTTGCTGCTCAACAAAATCTTTAAAGTGTGTGTGACCGCTTGGCTTGAGCGTAGTGCGTGCGTTAGGGGCCACGTTTCAGAGCGCTTGCTCATATCTGTTGACCACCTGGCAGCCAACTTGCCTCTTCGGGCGTCCCGGTATTCAGCTGTGGAGATGGTGAATATTTAATGGGCGGTGGTGACGGCTACATGCGCGCGAAACTGTTTTCGCG